GGGGAACATGGTGTACTACATGGACCTCTGGGTCGGAGACCTCGTCGACCAGAACGGGATCTTCGGGTGAATTTCACGGTGCCTGCAGGGGTGCGAATCGATACCGCGGCCAGCACAGCATGTCTCCCAGACGAAGTAAGCATCTAGATGATCAGGAGACGACCGTTGTACGGATCGCGAATGCGTCCGGTGGCAATTCCGTCGTTGATCCGCGTCGCCGCAGGTCAGCCTTACGACGTGCCGTTACGACCAGACAAGGGTGTACCGCGCTTGTGAATGACACGAGGAGCGACGTGGGTAACTTCCCTGATCAAGGCTCCCGGCGGACGTCGCACGTACTTGCGCGTTACGAACATCAGAGAGAAGTCGACCGTGCTAGACGCACATACGACGATTGGATGGTAGACGCCCATCAAAGCGGTACCGCGCGCGTTTGGGTTCGTACAACCTGCATCGCGAAAGTACGACGAGTGGCAGAACTTCGCGTTCGGAGCGACTTCGGACGTAAATGACGGAGCCATATTCCAGTCCAATGACGGAACGGCGAGAGTATGCCGACCCACAAGCGATCCTGGGTCGATCAGAGAAGCCAGGGAACCCCATGGAGAGCACCAAGGGAGAAAGATAGCGGCGATATCAACCGTTTCACGGGAAGATAATACTGAGTTCACCGATGTGGTGAAGACTCGGGACGCCCTCTCTCCGAAGCTCGAGCACGGAACGCGTCTTGGCGCGGAGCCCGAGCACGGACCGCATCTCAACATGGGGTCGACGGAAGACCCCGACCCTAGCTTCAAGGAGATTCCAGAGTACGAGAACGCCGACGAGGGGGTGATACTCCATGAAGGGTCAGACTTATTCGCAGAAGACGTGGAAGCCGAAATGGCAGTGTTGCCAGAGGTTCCGTGGACGGCAGAAGTGAAGATCGAGGATCTCAAAATCGGGCGTCCGGAAGGGGTTGACCCGGAGGGAGCTGTAGAGATGGAAGAACGGCTGCGCCAGATCGTCTGGAAGAAGCGTAAATGGAAGATCGGGAAGGGCAACGCTCTACCACCTGCAGCGAAGGGTGTCATCTGCGACATCGATGTGGGAAACGCGAGGCTCGTCGCACAACGCGTCCGGAAGACCTCGTCGCAGTTTCGCGAGAAACTAGCCGATCTGATCCGAGGACTTCTCAGCGCGCGTATGATCCGCGCGTCGAAGTCACCTTGGGCTTCCCCCATCGTCGTCATCGTGAAGAAGAATGGCGTCGACATCAGACTCTGTGTTGACTACAGGTTGGTCAACGGTTTGACCCATTTGATGGTGTACCCCATGTCACTGGTCACGGACCTCTTGGAAGACTTGGATAAATACCGATGGTACTGTTCCCTAGACATGGCCAGCGGATTTTGGGTAGTCTCGATGACGAACCAAGCCCGTCTCATCTCCGCGTTCATCACACCATTCGGGCTGTTCGAGTGGCTGCGTATGCGATTCGGTTTATGCAACACGCCACAGATATACCAGCGGTTGACAGACAACGCGCTGTACGGCTTCTGGAAACTCTCGCCAACTGAAGATACGCGCGACGTTTTCCAGGACGGGGTCCCGTCCAAGCCTGGAACACGGTCCGTGCTTCGTCGACGGTTCTATATTGACGATATTCTGATCGAGGGAAAGTCTTGGGATGACTTGTGCGAGAAGGTGGAGCGTCTCCTCGAAGTTTGCGAGGAGTGGCACCTGTCGATCAGTATCGAGAAAAGCGAATGGGGGATGCCAAGAGTGGATTACTTGGGGCACGAGGTTTCGGAAAACGGACTCGGGGCGAAGCCAAAGAACTTGGAAGCACTAGCGGCGCTGGGTTTTCCGTGCACGCAAAAGGGGTTACAGTCGTTCTTGGGTAGTCTAAATTACTACCACGCTTTATCCCAGACTTTGCAATCTTTGCCACCGCGCTCTACTCCCTCTCAGCCCGCGATTTCGAGGAACGCGCCACGAATCCAGAAACGCGTAACGTGGAAAAGTGGGACCATGCTGAACGGGCGTTCACGACAATTCGCAGCAAGATCGCGGGACCCCGATGCTAAAACACTTCGACGCGGATAGACAACCAGTGGTGATTGTGTACGCGGGTGATTAGGTCGTGTCGGCCGTCCTCACTCAAGAGCATGACGTAGTGTACATGCCCGTCAAGTTCACTAGACGGACGTTGAAGCCCAACGATCTGAACTACAACATCACCGAGAAGGAGATCCTAGCGCTGTTGCGCGTCTTGAACGAGTGCCACAACATGCTGGTGGGAAAGCCGATACCCGTGTTGACCCGACATACAACCCTGGGTTGGCTATTTCGATCTAAAGGGCTGCAAGGTCGTCTGTCGCAATGGGCCGCCATCCTCTCCCCCTGGTGATTGGAAATCCTCCGGTCGGCGAAAGGGGAGGAAGCGATTCTGGGAACGTTAGCTGCAAGCATCACGCCGAGGGCCCACGTAGATTCCGCATTGGAAGATATCGCGCCTCGAAACCGCCCGTCTAAGACGGCCGCTATCCCGGTCCCGAAAATCGAACCAACCGAGACCCTCCACGTGATCAGCTTCGACGGATCAGCTCCCGTCAAACGCGAAGGTGGTGCATTCAGCGCAGTAGTCTGGCAGCGGCAGAATTGGAAGGTGGAAAAAGCCGCGTTCGGATACGCGGAAGGTCTCACAGGGAACGAAGCCGAAAACCGGGGCATGCTACTCGGGCTCTCGCTCCTAGAAGACTTGGATGTCACACGACTAATCATATACAGTGATTCCAACCTGGTGGTTCGCCAAATGCGAGGGGAGATGGACTGTAAATCTCCCGGATTGAAGTTGTTGAGACATCAGACTTGGAACGCGGCGCGCGAACAGCACGGGCACAAGTTTCTACATGTCCGAGGAGATTTGAACGCGAGCGCAGATATGCTGGCCGGACAGACACTCCAACGACAAGGAGGCAAAGACGTCCACAGCGTCGAGGAGATTGAGGATCTGAAGACGTCAAATCGGTTAGGAGAAGTGCTGCAACCCACGCTACCCGTTTCAGAGCGTCAAACGCGCGCTACAGACGACCCCGTCGTTGAGCTTGGAACGCGCGGTCCCGACGACAAGAGCCGCGGGGCGGGCAGAGTCTATCCTGTGACCACCCGGTCATGCGACGCGTCCCACCAAACCTTGCGGAGACAGCCGGAAGCCTTAAAGGAACTACAGGTGCAACGGTTGAGACTGGATCGGGTCCGTACGGCGTAGAACGAAAAACTCTGGATAGTGAACCTCAAGATGTTCCTAAGCGGAGATATCAGCGAGCTTTCCAAACAGGATGTGAAAAACTGTGTGGAGATCGCAGAACAGTACGTGGTGGGGGAGAGTGGCTTGTTGTAC